GTGGTCCCAGGCAGGGTTGACGTACACACAGGTGGTCCCAGGCAGGGCTGACGCACACACACGTGGCCACAGGCAGGGTTGACGTACACACAGGTGGTCCCAGGCAGGGTTGACGTACACACAGGTGGTCCCAGGCAGGGTTGACGTACACACAGGTGGCCACAGGCAGGGTTGACGTACACACAGGTGGCCAAAGGCATGGTAGTGCACTAAACTAAGCCATCTTGCCTGAGGGTTGCTACCCACCAAGATTGTGCAAGACGGTGTAAAGGATGAAAATATATATCTTCACTGTCGCTAGAGGTGAACAAGACTCGTTATCACGGGTCTCCAGGTCCAGCAGTGTGACACATGAGCATTAACAGAGGTGGGCGGCCCCAGTCACACTTCCGTCACGCCCCATCTCCACCGCGAAGGGCTCACAGCCCAGGGCCTCGCCACCCCTAGTTCTCACATCCCAAGGTCCAAGGTCCAGTCATACTTAGGTTCTAACTTTGCTATACTACCTTCCCTTCCCCATCCCGTATCACCATTCTGAAAAACGGTTTACTTTCAAGGCGGACATGGTTAAGTTCATCCAACCCCAGGCCTAACTACCTGCTGGTACAGCCCTCTCAGATCAGATCACCATCACATACGAGCACTATCAGGTGAGACAATCATAAGGTACGGCCACCTTTAGGGCCGACCACCAGCAGCTCTAAGACCAATGGCGCCGACCACCTAATGGTCGCATCCGTTTCACGTCATATCACTGGCTCCAGCTCCAGCCATCAACCAGCCCATTGCAGAAACTTAACCACCATGAGAACATGATTCTACGTTCCCTAGCCAAGTTCCTGCCTCTGATGGGTGACCAACAATGTGGCTGACATTGAGCTTCTTTCCAGGTGATTTTTGACAATGGCAACCTGCGGTGGTGGGGGAGAAAGTTGTAGTGTGGCCATAAAGGCAGGTAAGGAGAGGTACACTACCACCAGAATAAGGACATGTTGGGCGCAAGACAGAACTAACACCAGCATAACTGCTGGTTTACGAGAAAAAATATATTACAGTTAAGATGACAGAAAATAATTCAAGATCGTCGTAGAGATGTAGACAACGTAGCATAAGGGAGGACTTGGGCTGCCCAAACAAAGGTTATATCTCTACAGTAAAACTCTTGTGGTGGCAGGATCACACGACAAACATTACTAGTCGTGGTTTACTACTGACCCCCGTGGCCCCCTCGCCCCAACACGCCCTCATTACTACACGTTATAAGCGTTTCGCCACACACTGCCAGCGTGCTCCACTTAACTCTAAATCTTACGTCATTTGTCGGTATTTTTCATAAGTGACCCGCGAGGCACCTTACTGCCTGCCTCATTCACTCCCAGCACGACCCTGTCATTAACCCTCTCACCTTGTTTCATGTTGTCAATTAGAGTTAACAATTAAAAAAAAATCTTTGGTGGCACAGTTCCTACACACGAGTTCTGGTACTAGTATACAGACGACGATTTCTTAGACGAATTTTGACGGGCGCCCAACTATTGTCTTTTACTGTGAACTAAAAACAAACAAACATGCACCGAGTTGACTGACATTGTTCACAGACCTAAATTTTCTATGCATTAATATACCACTGTAAAATATGATTACCAATGTTTATGTTTTATATTTATTATTAGATGTACACACACACACACACACACACACACACACACACACACACACTGACTAATATAATACGTAAAAATTACGAAATTTCGACCAATATGAATATTTTCATAATGTAATAAGATGGTAGTAGTCTTCACACAGGGGTCTAATATCCCTACGTGTGCGGACAAACGTAAGGACGAAGTCTATTCTCCTATAAATGTGTCTCTTTTCGAGTCTATATTCCTCTAAGGATAAAAATAATAAAGAGAAAGAGTTATAAGGCACCAACACACTGGCCACTACACTAAAACGGGGTACTTGTGAGCTCCTACGTTCACAGGGCTGCTGTGACACCTCTAATGTATGTCGTTCTCTTTGTGGGGTATCACGGTCACATCTCCTCCCGAATCCTAGGCAGCGTTTTATATTTTAGGTCCAGCCCTGACCTTGTATGGGTGCCTAGGAGGAGGCGGAGGCGGGGAGCCAGCACAAGGGCCCAAACAAATTGGAGATATGAATAAGTCTTCTGTGTAATTGAGAATGAATCGCAACACTTGTTTTACCATTGCTTCGCACACGACCCGGGTCGTTTTACACACCATAATACGATGCGATACTGTATAATTCACCCTGGACAACAGCTGCAGCACAGACAGTAACAAGTCAAGTAGTTGATAAACGAGTATTAACGAAAACTAATGAACAACACCAAATAGGCATCAGTAGCAGCAGGACAACTGTTCCCCAAGAAGGTCTTGGAAACCAGTGTTTTATGCCCGCCCTACAATACCTGGCTCCATTGTGCGCCACGACTTCGTAAATCACAGCTGATCGCTAGGCTGTGATGCAACCATTCCCGGAGCATGATGGGTGCCCGGCGAGGCAAGTCATCACTGTGAAAAATACAAAGATATTTTGACTTAAGTGAAATAAATAGCCTCGTTTTTAATTACTGGTCACCTATCTTGAGTGCATGATCTGAATGAGTACAACTCGATCCTGGGCAAAAACTGCCACACTATTTATCTTACAAACATTGTTGTAGTGTTTTACGACAGTTCGCCCCACGAGCCTTGCTCAAGAATAGCGTGTAAATATTTCCACACTACCGCCACATACAGGAAATATTGACACAATGCTCAGGGACGCCAGTGTGTCAGACTAAAGGGCCCACTCAGTACCTATCATAAGAAAAATAATATAATGAGTGATCGTTGCAAGTTTGCAACAGGAGAATCCGGATGAAAGAGGTCAGTGTGAGACGGTTTGAAAGGTGCGAGTGTAACATTGGGGTGAGCGAGGAGTACATTGAAAGCCGCCACTTCAGTGTAAGAGGGAGGGAGGGGGTCCACAACACGTCGGCCGCCACTCTACTATTTATGGGCCCAGTTAACACAGGGGTCACTCTGCCCTATCACGTTTCCTCCAGCTGTTATACAATGACTCTATGATTTATGTTTTAATTAATATTTGACGTATATGGCATCTGTTAAAGTCTAAGTAGTTCAGTGAAGTATTTTCTTAGTTATTAATGACTGAGTAGCTATAACCCGGCCAGTGGCCATGAATCGGAGCACCGCTTTACAAAGACTGCTGCGCTAATAACCTTTAATTTTGTTTACGATAATTGCACAAAACATATATCCGTAACTGACAGAAGCCGCACTTAAGCCCTTCTTACATTAACAGGAAACATCAACAATTGGGGCCGCTAAGGCGACGCCCAAAACGGAGCTGCGATCCCCGCTATGTACTGTTATTTCTCTTATTATTCATATTACCATCTGACCTTAATTATGTCTTTCCTCCGCCTCCATAACAAGGCAGGAACTGTATCTTCAGCGCGAAGAAAAATAAGAATTAGAGACAAACTTGGCGGTTAATTTCAAAATAGTTGGTTTGTGAGCGAAAGTTAAGCGAGGGAACGCCGGGACGTGAGCTATGACAGTATGTGTATAATGTCCCCGTTGTGTCGCCGGGTGTTTGACCCATATTACTGTATACACCGGGTACTGGCTGCATTTTTTATACCTGCTTTTCATTGTTTAGTTTTAATGATATTCTGAGTAAACAAAAGGACTTGCCGAATGCATGTGTAATCACTGAATTTAAGAGGTAATAAATTTAACGAAACGGCATTACTATAGTTCTTTTAAGATTACGTGAATGATATAAGTTGCATTAGTTTAGATACTAATCCATCTTTTATGTACAAATATTAGGTATTAGGCGACAGGGACTTGGCTACTCATAAGAAAAAAATAACTATTACAGTGTTGACTTACACGTAAAAAATCAACCTTAAGCTACAATAACAGATCTATTTATCGTGCATGTTAGTCAGCACTTGGATTAAGTGGTTCAGTTTTGATCACCGTACTATAGAATGGATACTGATTCCCGAGAAAACATTCAGAGGAAGATACCAAAGTAAATCCGGGGCATTTGGAACCTTGAATATAGAGACATATTAAGAAAACTGAGTCTACATTCCCTTGAGAGACGTTAAGTGAAGGGCGATAAGATCGAAGCGCATAAGTGGAAGATGGAATTAAATAAATGTAATATAATTACGGTAATTAAACTATCAAATCGGGATCAAACACGTAACAATGGTTTTAAATTAGATAAATTTAGATTGGGGCGGGAATTGGGTAAACATTGGTTTGGAAATACTTGTGGATGAGTGGAACAAGTTACCAAACACCATCATTAACTCAAAATTGCTGGGAAACTTCACACACATATAGATTGGACAGACAAATAAGTGATAAGTGACAAGAGTTAGGTGTTAACAGGCCTGTCTAGTATGGGTCAATAGACCTACTGCAGTTTCCTTCATTCTTATCTTGTATTCGTGTACGCTCTCATATTCGTCTGGCCACCCCCCACACACAGAGCAAACAAAAAAAAGTGGCCGGATATGATACACCCAGTACATTCCTAAATTACAACCGTTCTTCCAGCTAGAATGACAAGTGTTGCTCCATGCTGCCTCATCCAGAAGCACCACATTATATGTCAGTACACGACCAGACATCCGCCCGCTAGCCTCTCTCTAGCTGTGACGACCGGAAGGTGAGGCAAACACTTGTTAAACTGATTGCACACACATGCTGACAGAGACGCATGGTGATGGATGGTCAGGACTCAGGCAGCTCACACCGGCTGCAGTTATGACAACCGGAATCAGCGCAGTTTACCCTGTATATACGACGTGTCTTAGGCGACGGGATAATTACACGGTAACGATTGTTATAATAGGTACAGTCGGGGTCAAAAGTTTTCTCCCTCCCAAAATGAAGCAGCATCGACTCCGAATGATATAAAACAGCACACCCGCAAGAGATGAGTCACGGTAAGTCAATTTGGAGACTCATTCCTGTGACTCGTTTCACCAGAGGAGCAAACTTTTGACCACGACAGTACCAGGCCAGGAGACACAGGAGGTAAGTGCACACTGCTGGCATGGTGAGTAAGGTTGTGCACACTGCTGGGGCATGGTGAGTGGGTGCACACTGCTGGCATGGTGAAGAAGGTTGTGCACACTGCTGGGGCATGGTGAGTAAGGCTGTGCACAGTGCTGGCATGGTGAGGAAGGTTGTGCACACTGCTGGCCTGGTGAAGAAGGTTGTGCACAGTGCTGGCATGGTGAGGAAGGTTGTGCACACTGCTGGCCTGGTGAAGAAGGTTGTGCACAGTGCTGGCATGGTGAGGAAGGTTGTGCACACTGCTGGCATGGTGAGGAAGGTTGTGCACACTGCTGGCATGGTGAGGAAGGTTGTGCACACTGCTGGCATGGTGAGGAAGGTTGTGCACACTGCTGGCATGGTGAGGAAGGTTGTGCACAGTGCTGGCATGGTGAGGAAGGTTGTGCACACTGCTGGCATGGTGAGGAAGGTTGTGCACAGTGCTGGCATGGTGAGGAGGGCTGATGAGAGGTGTGTTAAGAGGGAGGCTGCGGCTGATGACTCCGTTTATTGTATTTAGTTTAGCAGACATTAGGGATGTGACGAAGCAGAATCACCTGTTGTTGGGAGAACGGATGTTTTGTAGTTACCAGAGGTGGTGAGTGAGGAGAGGGGTGAAATGTTAAGGTCATACTTTTAAAATATAAAAAAAATGACTACGTCATACTTCAATAATATAGTGCACTACCAACACAACGGAAGAAACAGCAACATGCAGCCTTCATTATTATCGTTTAACAACGTCACTGACATTGACCCGCCAACCAAGACGCTGAGTGCAGCGCCAGTGTCACAGGTAGTGGCCGCCGTCAACCTTCACTTTACTCTCACTGCCCAAAATTATACGTTGAGCACTCAAGTTCATAGCCAGAGGTGGAAGGTGGAGGCAAGGTCGTAGGTACTGACAGTGGCGGTGGGGATAGTGAGCTCCATTGCTCTGCCACCATCCAGTACAAAAACACCACTTTTTCATCTCATCTACCGGCGACCAACACGCGATGGTGTAAAGAAAAACCATGATCGTTTTATAGGGCAACTTTTTTCCAGGGATTAAGATCGACCGGACAAATACAACAGGGTTCGATTAATGTGTTGTAACGCTATTTTTTTTACAAGCGGCGGTACAGCGAAGCGATAACATCAACACGGCTACCTGCCCTCCTCTGCACCACAACCACCACCACTAATACAAGGCGCCCCAAAAAACGATCTTAAATTGCTCATACAGCCAAAACCTACGACAACAACATACTGCATGGGGTACAATATGAAGGCAAATATATGAAGGTTATAAAGACGTCACAGGAGAGGGACGTGACGCGCGGCCTTGTAACTGGTGACTACAGCCAGGATAATGACCAACGGTGACCAGGTCGGGCTGTTCCATGCACCGTCGACCTTGTTCTCTCCTCCACCACCATCATTCCACCCAAACTTCCACCAAACACTCCTCCACCACCACCACCCACCCACCACTACCACCACCATTCCACCCAACCTTCTACCAAACACTTCACCATCACCACCCACCCTTCCACCACCACACATCCACTACTGCCTCTCATCCTGTTGCTGATGAAAGCAATGAAAAGGTTTAGGAGCAGTAACTGAGAACCGCCTGTTGTGTTTACTTGACTACCACACCTTAAACGAATGCTACAGTGTGTATGGATCAGTCTCACAAGTGATCACATGGTCCTGCTTGGATTTCTGTCTACCTGCCTCGCTTTACTCAGAATCATTGTCATCATTCTGGAATGGCTTTATAAACATCGCGATCATCAAAAGTTTTAGCATGAGATTGATGTAAAGGGGACGGACTTACGCACACATATTAAACTGACCACTATGAACAGCTACAGCGATGTGAATGAAAAAGAAAGAACACCAACCAATAGTTTTCAAACAGATGACGATATTTAGTGATAAAACATACTGCTTAGTGTGGTAAGCTGGTCACTTGTCACTGAGTGTGTGGAGCGTTAGTACCTACTGGAAAGAGGAAAGAGCTAGTGAGAACACCACCATCGTCTCACCTACTCATAGGAGATTAATATATAACCACAATACTAACACACGAGACACCTGAACAAGTAAGAGGAATCCTTTTGGTTACAGCACCAGGCCACCACCACACCCCACCCTTGCCCCTCAGTCAACCCTATAATAAAGATAGTGTGGCAATCTGCACGTGAATTGACATAATACTAATATAGTGCAACTGAGTGAGCGGTACACGAGCTGCGGGTTGTATCAAGGCCGTAGGTTTTTGGTTTTGCAATATATCTGGTTGTAAAATGTGCATAGCAAGTTATTGCACATGTTTCCACTTTGTATGACCCTGAGCTAAAGTGTAATCTGATACTCCCACACACTTGACACCGCGTCTGTTTACACATCTCACCTGTTCGTACATCTATCCAAACACCTTATAACACCTACCATAAATTTTCACCTGATGGATAATCAACCAACATACACCACCCACACACACCTGTCATAACCTCACCCCCAAACACCTGTCATAACCTCACCCCCCACACACCTGTCATAACCTCACCCCCACACACCTGCCATAACACCCAGATACAAACCTCACACCCACATACCTGTCATATCACCCAGATACAAATCTCACCTTCACACACCTACGTTATGGGTTCCTGACAACACAGAGAGCCGAGTCCGTCAATAACCCGACTTGTGGATCACGAAGCCACCGAAACTAATTTATTTTTTGGGGGGGTAAAAAAAACAAGATCTGAATAAACACATATGAAAATACTGTAGATATAAATAATAACAAAATACATCAATAAAGAGATTAACATACTATAGAATGTATGAACAAATATATAAACAAATAAAAATAAACACCTAAGGACAAAAATTAAAGAAAATAGATTTATTAAACATGAACAGGTGACCTAAGGTGACGCCCCATATTATTAATACACTTTATAATGAACTCCAGAACCACCACAAGTGTAAGGCAATAACAAACATCACCACCACAAGTGTAAGTCAATAAGAAACATCACCACCACAAGTGTAAGGCAATAACAAACATCACCACCACAAGTGTAAGTCAATAAGAAACATCACCACCACAAGTGTCAGTCAATAACAAACATCACCACCACAAGTGTAAGTCAATAAGAAACATCTCCACCACAAGTGTAAGTCAATAACAAACATCACCACCACAAGTGTAAGTTAATAACCAACATCTCCACCACAAGTGTAAGTCAATAACAAACATCTCCACCACAAGTGTAAGTCAATAACAAACATCTCCACCACATCACCACCACAAGTGTAAGTCAATAACAAACATCACTACCACAAGTGTAAGTCAATAAGAAACATCACCACCACAAGTGTAAGTCAATAAGAAACATCACCACCACAAGTGTAAGTCAATAAAAAACATCACCACAAGTGTAAGTCAATAACAAACATCTCCACCACAAGTGTAAGTCAATAACAAACATCACCACCACAAGTGTAAGTCAATAACAAACATCACCACCACAAGTGTAAGTCAATAACAAACATCACCACCACAAGTGTAAGTCAATAACAAACATCACCACCACAAGTGTAAGTCAATAACAAACATCTCCACCACAAGTGTAAGTCAATAACAAACATAAATACAACAGAATATTACAAGGGCACAAAATATACATAACAATGATAATAACATCCCTCCCTCCCTCTCACCCCTCCCCCTCCCTCCCCCCTCTCACCCTCCCCACTCCCCCTCTCACCCTCCCCACTCCCCCTCTCAACCCCCCCTCCCAAATAATGAAGGAACAGACATCATAAGTCGACAAGGTCACATTTACTTAACGAACAAACGCCGGTAATAAGATGATGATGAGGTTCCTGGTGTGAGGTAACGTGTGCAGTATGTAGCCACCTGATACTAGAACAACGGAGGCCACCACTGACAACAACATGAGGAGGGGGAGAAGGTAGGGGGGAAAAGGGAGGGGGGAGAGGTGGAGGAAATGGTAGGAGGAGGAAGATAAGGAGGGGAAGAGGAAGCAGGAGGAAGAAGATGAGGAAGGGAGGAAGAGGAGGAAGAGGAAAAGGAGGAGAAAGAGGAGGTTACAGATACTACATTTACTGGATGCGATACCCACTGATATCATCACCACCATTTAACTTTAACGTGACCTCAGCCTCCCTCAATAGCCACACCTTCGCCACCATTTCAGTACCTTAATATTAAATATCCTAAAATAAAAGTAGTACCATTATCACCGCTACCATCAATATCATCACCACTAACATCTTCACTACCACTATTATATAACAGTTATACCATTACCACAACATCTCTCTCCCATACTCACAGCTATTAAATTCATTGAAACCACTGTTACTGACAGTCTCATCATCACTGACTCTCTATCCTCACTACTTGCCCTTGGTACCCTCGACTCAGGTTGTCACGCTCTTGTCTCTGAAGCCGGACACAAATATGCGTGCCTTGTTGACCGGGGTGTCAGGGTCAAACTGTTGTGGATCCCCTCTCACATAGGCCTCATAAAACATGACAGAGTTGATGCCCTCGCCAAACTCGCGTCTAACAAAGACACCGTTGAATACAATTTGGGTCTGTCAAAAAGAACCCTTAAAACTGTAATTAGGAAAAAATTTATTGATGAGTTTGACGCAAGTAGACAAGTGCAAACAGGCACTAGTTGATCCATAGGTTACCATGATGAGATGTATCAAGTGAAACATGTATATGGAGCAAGTAACAAGATCACTAGATTACAAGATGTTGTAACCGCTAGATTAAGGTTAGGATATAAGTACCTTTGGCAGTATGTTCCTCAAGCAGATGTAAACAAAACTAAATGTAAAGTGTGTGGCCACATATGGCCACACACTTGAACACTACGTCCTCGACTGTGTGAAGATAGAACCTTTTAGGACAGGTCCAAGCACACTGTGTGTGAAATGGCACAACACTTCATCTCTAATGGCAAGATAGCCGACATATTAAGATTGTATCCACTTTTTTGCACTTAGTAACTATATCAATTCTCATGTACAGAACCAAATACGCAATGTGCTTGAATACCTCTCACGTAAATGTGAATAACAAAGTGTGAGGCCAGACATACTGCCTCACACGCCTGTTCTCACGCATTTGTGATTAAGTTACCCTTTATGTATAGAACTAAACAAATAATGTAAATGAAATACTGTGTAACTTTCAGTGCCATAATATCCTGACAACGGGGGTTAATTATTATGACCCTTTGTAAACCCTACTCTGTAATCCTTTTGCGCTACCGCTCACAGGATGAGTGTGGGTGCACAATAAAGTAGCCGCTGCAAGCGGCAAAATCAAAATCAAAATCAATCTCTCTCTCTCTCTCTATCTGCGACTGAACAAATAACAACAACGTCCACTTTGTTTTTCCTCA